ATCTTGAATGTAACTTTGGCTTTTAATGGATATGGATTAGGGGGTTTGTTTTCGTATAGGATACTACATTGTCGTCTGGATGTATCACTTTAATCGTCCGTTTGAGAAATAGTATTTTGTATGGCTCAACGCCGGTGGGCCCATGCCCCTATAGTAGAGGCATATATGAACAAGGACTTTACCTGAGTAGAACTTCGCCGACGGCAGGATGCGAAGACGGAGTTTACCTCCGTGATTAGGTTGCATTCTCCTGCAGAATTCCTGCAGCTAATGGTGTGATAAGCCCACAGCTGAATGCTGCCGGCATCATGCGGGCAGTGTGATATTTTTCAATCCGTAGCAAAATCGGCATTATTGTCATACTTTTCCTACCGAAACACGGCTTATAGGCTCTTGTAGCGTGCATGTACGGCTGAGAGGCGAAATTCTGGTATTTACTGAGTCGTGGCGCTGTTGTTCGATGAGGATGTAGTCATCGTTGGAGTTTGAATTAGGTAGGCTTGCCGAGATGCTGGGGAGATGGGATTTTGTGGTTGCTTTTAATATGATTTCGCGTGTCCATACTGTGAGTAGGAATCGTAAATTAATAGGTTCTTGATATTTCTATAATAGGCTCAGTTATCCGACTTCATGGTAGATTTAGTGTCAGCCGACCCCGTGCCTTGGGGTATCGATAACATCTGAACACTAGAAAATGATGGCCGTGATGGCAATCTGCTGCGTTCTGAAATGGTGATCTTGAAAGGTCTATCCATTAATGTGGCTCGTCAGCTCATGGAAGCCTGATACTTACTTGACATGAAATGTTCCAGGGCCAGTGACAGTGAGATATATATCTTTATGTCGATGAGGTGAAATCGCCTATATTGCAGTGTTTTTATTATTATTCTAGGGAAACGCGTCAACGAGTCAACATACCTACTAGCTGGTACGTCAGCTGGTAAGTCTATATCTACAAGTTGGTATGTAGGGGCTTGGCCCCGTAGAATACTACCACGTGGTCCAACGCCGCGGGATAGGGCCTCTTGAGTCCTTCGGTTAGGCCTACATAGTATAGAATAGTCTATACTCTATAGGATTACTAGATAACTGCAGCTATTCAATCTATCCCAGAGCCTTTGAAGACTAATCTTATAACATATATCTCCTGGAAGGCGCTATTTTGGGATATTACCTCATACCGATATATCTCTGAAAGCCTATCTACTATTAGAATGTTTTCCAACGTATATTTCCGCTGCTAAATTCCACATTTGTATATAGTATTTATTGATATATTCAGTAGGCTGTACCTTTCTATCTACTAGTCTACATAGACTAGTAGGTCAAGCTTATAAATAGTAATATAGGGCATAAAAAAGGGGAAGCAGTATTATAAGTTGCTATTATTTTCAGATCCTTCTGGTTCTTAACATATATATATATATTCGTATATTTATAACACAAATGTCAATAAGGGCTGCATAGTATATATACTGAACGGTCGTTAGCGACCGGAGAAGAGCCCCTGAATGGGAGCTGTATTCGGGTATAATGCAAATCTCTCTCTCTCTCTCTCTATCTTTATATCTTTTTGGTTATGTTTCATACACGAGTGAACTTTGGCTGTTGAATAATTCCATCCATCTTTAAGCATGAAATCTTCTCTAGCAATATATATATTATCTCACTTCGAATCTGGAGTATTGGAGACAAATGTGTCTATGAAGCCGAGTATCCTCTCATGTAAGCTCGCGTCAGGAAACCAAGTGATCCACAAAGCTGCCTACATTGCCCTAAAACGACAAACTATTGAACGATGTCATCAGTCCTTTATGTAGCACCGACACATGATGCATTCGTGACCGCAAGAACGATAATCATTGGAGGGATCTGCATGTAGATAATGCTTTTGTGCTCTGTGTAGTGTATGTGAAGTCGTTTAATTAGATACCTTAGTTTTAGCTTGAGGCTCGCTTCAATGACTATGAGAGTCGTGGAATGCCAAAATACAGCGGGGAGAGCCTCTTAAGGGGCTGAAGGAACATAGAGAGAGACATATAGAGAGAAGGGGGTAGGCCCTAGACAGACGGCCTGGATATTGAATGGGGAGTTTTTAATGATGTAAATTCTAAACGACAAGCACTATGATTGGCTTGTTCAAGATTCCTCAAGGTTACTCAAGATCGTAAGTGAGGAGACTGGTGGTCTCTTCGTATATCAATTCCGTCTGTTATTATGTTAGTTAAATAATTGAGAGGGGCGAAGGTTATACGAATGGTGATACTATGGAATTCTCACATTTCCATTTCCTATATTTTTGCACTTTTCTATAGTACATATTACGCCCTTGCTGGGCATCTGATAGAAAGCATGAACTATACTGGTTATTAAGAATGCCTTAGCCATAATAACTTGCTTGGTAACGATCAGGCATGAGGATGCTTCATACTCAAAGGATATGAGCATCATGGATTCCAGCATAAGCATAGCAATCTCGCTAGTATCACTCCAGCTTCCATCCAACGAAACAAGCACTAGGATGATAGTGAAAACAAGCCCAAGGAACGTAATCCTAGGTTGGCGTATCTCAATAATACCGTTCTATGCGAACAGAAAAACAATGCGCTTCTAATGTCATCACTCCACCATTCTTTGCCTTGTCATTGCCTCCCATGCTGATCATGTCTACTTCTTGGGTGAACCGCGATATTCTATGTAAATGTCTAGGTGTCTTATAGTTTGACCCTGACATCTCAATGAAGTTTAGATTGACTGATTGGTTAATTGGATTCCATGAACGGTCTAGATCACTGGGATATGCAACAATGTGATCGCAATGACGAATGCATATAGAACACTAGAACCTTACGTCAGTGATGGGAGATGGATCCATTGAAAATAACAGCAGCACTTAGTCCTATCTGTTCAGGGTGCAGAAGCCACCCACAATGATATCACTCGGAATGTCTAGCCTCAACTTCTCAAGGATAGTACAGAAGATGCATGATGGTAGAGACGAATAGCAACATGGAGCAACTTCGAAGAGATTGGCACCAAATACCAGAGGCTAATTGAAGACGTGATACAAAAGATAATGTTGCTAGCTTCCCGATGAGAGGCTTTGTGACAGGAGAGGTGCGTATAGTGCTGTGCTTGTAGGGCAGCGGGAGGATATATATGACGAGTAAATTGAACTGGGAAGCAATGCACTGCAATAGTCCAATTGAAATTCCTGATTGGTTAGACGGGAAATTGTATCTATACCTGTCAAGTTACTGTTATATGGTATGTGGGTGTTTCAACTTCGCATCTCTCTGTCACTTAGGTAGGCCATTGTCCAATAATTATTTAGACGATCCTCCGGTCAAGGTTTGGCCTAAGTCAGGAATAATATAGTGGGTATTGTATCATGGGACAAACACGTCATATCTGTTAGGGAACTCTCAGTTTTATGCCTATTTTGGGAGTTAAATGAGCATGATTGTCCGGTGAGTACTCACTAGTAGGCTAACAATGTTTACATTAGCTCCGGCCTTCTTCAAACCTAGTATAAAAATATACCACTATTCATGTGTTTCATCCCTTCACTTGACTATGTTGTTGAACAAGGACCTCCTCAGGTCTGGAATCTGATGTCAGCTGCGCCGGGAACTATCTCCTGGCAGACCAGTGGGGCGTAGACACCCAGTTCGCCTGATATTCCCTAGCATTAGCATTTTAAATGTTGATCTTAGTATACCCACATAATAGCATTACTACAGAGTCATCTCCACTCGGCTTCAAAAGCGGGGATTTGGGCGGAAGCCCGAACAAGCGAACACCCCACGTAGAGTAATGATAGCTCTATTAGTAACCGAGAAAGCTTTGCGGTACGACTGCCTCTGAGTAGAGGGAAAATTAATAATGGAAAATAAAAGGTGAACATGCTGAATGATTAGTTATAATTGGGCGACTATGACGTACATGGGCAAGTATGACATAAAACGGTCGATAACACTATTGAAGTCCACTTAGCGTAGACTTAGTTTAAGGCAGCACTACTTATGCAATATCCTAGAGTACCTTGCAGGACCATCTAGACTCATGACCCAATAGGTATATTATATTGAATTGATAATCTAGATCTTTGTGATAGCGAACATTGCATCATACTGGTCGGGGTCCGGCTTGGATTGACGAGTGGTTCTTCAAATGTAAATAATATTGACCTAGGGGCTTGAGGAAACGGCCGTTCGGGTACATATACACGCAATGGAGGAGTCGACGTCATGGGCGGGGGTCCCCTGGTATTCAAAGTGTCGAGACATTTATAGGGTGGGTGTTGTTCAGGTTCAAATGAGCCATCAACGGGTATACGTCCTCTAGTAGCAGGAGGGGTCATTTTGGCACACTCATAGCTCGCAATTGTCTACGGGGAAGCTGATCACGATCTCGGTAACAACAGGGCCTTCGGTTTCTATTCCTCTTGCATCCCCAAGAAAAGTGTGAATACCGGTGCAACCATGCATTGGACTCTTGGAACATGGCTGTGGATATCTCACAAGTACGCCCCCTTTAATTCTGTAATATCAACTCTATTTGCTGACGATAAGTTTCCCTTTCCAGATCTAAAACTGTGGCAAGGACTTCTGCACGATATCAGCAGGACACTGGCCAGATGAGTGACAAGCAGTATCATGTGCCTGAGCAACCAAAACCGCGCCCCGGGATGTACGTTCGGAGTATTCAATCTTCAGGAAGCGAGACACAATCATCGATTAAAGCAACGCGTGAAGGGTACAAGCTAAACGAACTACGATGCCAACGCTGCAATGGCCGTCGTTCACTCGCTTACCACCGTAAGAACCGTACAGATCCAGTTATTTATCCACCCGTGGGGATCTGCTCTCGTGAATGGACCGGTTGTGCAACAGCGAAGCAATCGGGTGGGCTGGACCATTGGGCTCATCCAATCTATGAACTCCCAGGGAGCTAGAGGCCCGGTAGATTTGCATTACGCAGGGACTTCAGAGAGCGACGTGCATTGCATGCCGACTAAGAAAAGGTACAAGAAATTGAGAAAGTCAAAGTTAATGATGTCACAATATCGATCAGCCCCACCAACGAACAGTACACACACACCTGATCACATACAGACCAACAGGGAAGCAATGACGACCACTGGCTGACCCTCATTCCCTGAAATTATGCGTTGATGGATGGTTGCCAAGCTGCCATGAGGCCCGCAGCCAGGTGTTACTGGAGAAGCTTGGGGGCTAGCCATAGGCCGCCGCGTCTAAGAAGTTGTCCTAGGAATAGACGTTACTGAAAGAAGCGAATTTACCTGTGCAGTAGTGATAGTCGGAATAGTGCCTCATTATCTATGAGAAATATATTTCTGATATCGTATCTGCACCAAAATCCCTGTTTCACTTGAATGCGTTCGAAAAGTAGAGATACAAGCTATGGATTCACGCAGGAAGTGTGTTGACAGACTCAACACTAATGCTTCAACACTGACCCCTGAACGGGGCTTGCAACGAGAGAAAGCAATAAGTGATCGCATTGTGTACTGTAGAAATAGCAAGGTATTTACTACACTGACGTAGAATTCCGTAATAGAGCGATCGAGCGAGGGATCTAGACTATAGCTGCTTGCCAATTGCGAGCTTAGACATTCCCACAAGGACGGGCGCAGAAGAAAAGGCGCAGACCAGCAGTCTATCGTTGATTTGCACAAGGTCAGAGATACTAGAGCATTCATCCTGTGAAAGAAACTGGTTGTGTACACGTGTTGCCGTGAATACTATAGAACTTGAACCATCAGGAATTCTTTCGGGGAGAGATATTAGAATGTATATACTAACCCCATACCTCTCTTCGCTCAGAGAGCTTTTACTGCAGGATATTAACTTAGCTATGTACGTCAGACTTACCTTGCATTGGTAAACTGAGCTCAGGGATCCTAGTGGGGGTAGGGAGGGATTTTCATAAGTTTCACCACAGAAGCAACGTAATTCTTTATAAATTTAGAACAACCATGATGCAATTAGTAACGCTTAGTGTAGTCAAAACTATTCTAATTACCAATGCTGACCTTAAGTACAGGGAGGCGCTAAAGTAATGGCTAAGGGATAGTTGCTTTACGCATTGGCCAAACCCTGGGACTCTCTGTCCTAACATGAAAATGTTCGCAATTTTTTACTGTGTTGATTTCCATGCCAGTGCGTTCAACGGTCTCGGGAATTTTTCGGAGGGCTCAACCCTTCCTCACAGGCGATGGCACCGTTAATCAAACTGTCGATCTGGCGTCGGACCTTCAGCAGCAAGGCACTCAATGAGTCAGTATATCACTCATCACTTTGTATCCCCTTGCAAATCACGACTCTCCATAGCTTTCCAGGACTCTCCGCAATCCTAAAGCACGGGGTACCTGCCATTTTAAGAGGCTCGGCCGAGATCGAGTGAAGCTATAAACAAAACTGTGGTTGGTTGAGGACGTGCCGAGCCGCTAGCATTATGGTATTCCAGCAGCCAGTCATGTCGGCATTTTCTGCTGGGAGTGTGGAGTGGAGTTCCTGTTCCTGGATTTCGGAAATACCGACCAGGTCTGATCTACCAAATTTCCAAGGATACCTTAAATTGAGCACAGGTCGAATAATTCAGACATGAGTAAGACTATCCTACTTTTGGAAAGTGTATAACCAGGGAGCTCTAGGTTCAGTGGCGTATACCAACGATCCGGAGGGGTAGTAAACGCCGATTAACATATGAGACAGGACTATAAGATAGGACCCAAAGATCCATTATTTAGTTAGGCTTGAAGCCCTTCGGAGAAACCCCGTGAGGCAAAGGTGAGCTGTCTTACTCCTTTCAAGATGCGGGTTGTTTCTATTACGTAGGAGGAATCTTATCCCTATCTTCCATTCATCTTGCACCGGTTACGGAATCGTTTGACCGCCGATTCCTAATCTCCTCCAGCACCCTGGAGGAAGCTCTCTAGCTCCATGACAGTATCTGATTGAGCCCACAAGGCTAGCCTGTGTTTGTTAATTAGGACTCTTCAGATGGTCGAGAACGCCATAGACAATCAAAATGTAGTGTTTGCTCTCATTCATGGCAGTGCTGGCGGCTGGCCCTACCCGTTCGGAGATATTCTATTGTAGCCTATAGACAACCACTCAATTGTTTCGCTCGAAGACTCCATAACTCGGTGTTAAATCCCGTATCCTGGGAAAGTAAAGTAAATTAAATGATAGTGACATACAAAATCAGGACTAAGACATTGAATATAAACGGCTTCAGTAGGGTACGTGGACGCGACAAGGTGAGTATTCAGTCATATAATCGCGAAGCCATAACAGAGGATTGAGTAGAGCCGGCAGTCGGCTCTATTATTATCTCGTCTCTCGCGTTTATGATCCACGTGTTTGATTGAGTGTCCGGGACTTTAAGAAACAAGCTCACGACCAACAAAAGTGTGGGAGAAATAGATACACTAGGAGGAAGCGGATCTGCCCGGGTCTGTGCCCTGCAGCGCACAAGTACCTGCACGTGGTCCAGGCGTTGTTCCTTGCAGCTAGGAAGAGACAGTAACCATGGAAGAGGAGATCGAGGCTAGAACACCTAATGTACTACCCTAATCGTATAGTCAAATAAAATGGCTTAGCGTGGCGTAGGTTGCAGATCCACCAAGTGTAGTATTAATTAAACTAAATAAATAATCCGAGTCACATGGGCCGGTATGCCCCACGCGTAGTAATTAGTAGCAGTACCAGTACGACTGGGAGTCCCAATGTTGAATGTTCGACTTTCACTTTGTTCACAATTAGTATCTACTGGCGTGAAAGTGTCTGATTCGAGACCCAACATGTAAATATGATGGGGGAAAATACTAGACATTCATGAGGTGGAGCTCGGTGAGGCCAGTTTCGTTTAATGCCTCCTGTCAAGACAGCAACCAACATGCCTGAACCAATGATATTCAATTTCTAGAGACTAATTGTGAACATAAAATAGTGTGCCTCACCGTAAAGAGCAAAATTACGAGACGGATACTCGGTAAAAGCATCATAATCAAAAAAGGACTGTCGTAAACCACACCCCACGGCCGGATTTTCTCCGTGGAAAGGCAGTGCACTGGGATCAGCCAGCCATGGGTGATTGAGGAATATGTGTTGATGTACGTCATGCTTAGTTACGAAAGAGGCCGAGACAATATACTCACCGTCCTTGGCGAGTAGCATCCGCAACCGCTGAAGGTTTAGTATTCCAGCATCGATGAAATTCCAGGAGATGGAAAATTGAACTTGGAAAAGTTTTGCGCAGGACCCGCAGATCAGCAAAAGTATAGATAGCTATATTGACTCTTGGAAGAACCCCTGACGGCTGTGTCGGTGAAGCATTACGTGTGAGACGTATGTGCTCGGTGGTCCCATCGGCTAATGTACGAGAGATTAGAGCCGTATAAATGTGCTGCGGTGTGTATGTATCTGTCTATTCCTTCTACCGGGTCTCATGCCCTTTTTGATGGCTCATCCAACTATTCAGTCAATATTGGATTTACATGGGGACTGTACTCTTGCCATATGCATGTTCCTTCAACAAGAGGGTATCTGCTTGCGCGCCGGGACTGACATCTCCGAGAGACCCATAGTGGGCCTTACCGCGACGTAGCACCTGACACTACAGAAATTTATTGTAGTAAACCGTCTTGATTAAAAATATCAGTATAGGATGCCGCAAGATTGCGGGTGGAGCTGTCAGATCTAGTGTGTGGCAAAATATCAAACGACCTGCTGCCTCTTATCGTGTTCTCCTAACAATTCGTATTATTTCCAAGAGAAGAAGGATATCAAAGTACACCCCTTAACCAGATTCCCCTGATAGGATCGTTCTAGTTATCCTATTACGTCATGTCAAGGTTAGTGAGGCCATGATTGGGCGCGTTCAGCGTGAAGGTATTGCATCCTTCCTCCTTGGCTGATTGCGAGCCGGGGTGCGTGTGGGTAGGCATTTTAATTATGACGCAATTTTTTCTTGACGGAAGAAGGTAGGAGTGAGTGCTGCAAATATGGGATATCATTGCTTACCTGATAGTATGCTTCAGGCCGGTTCCAATACTCTTGTAACCCTATTCTATAACAAGTGGGTGATTTCCACTTGCAATAGGTTGAACATTCGTGTACTACGGTAATACTATCACCTATTGTTCAGCTTTGGCATATAGGAAGGCCTTGTGTGATCTGTAGTAAGAATATGTCAATAGTAAAGGCGAAGGGCTGACGTAAAGAACTTGGGTTTGTTTAACTGCCTTGGACGCAAGATCAGCTACACTGAAAATAGTTCAAAACGATCAGTCATCGACATGCCGTTTCAGTGATAATGAACTCGGACGATTTTCATTTCAGGTCTGGAAACCAAGCGTACAATTGGCAAGGCAGACTTTTGAGTCTTAGTCCTCAGGTCAAGGGTAATTACGTATAATCTACTGGACTACCCCTGAAATGGAACAGGCAATCCACTTACCTAAAAGCTAACGGGCCAGTTTCATTTACCGGTCGAGACAGTTTTCAATAGTTCGGAGGAGACATGAGTTACACGACCAACTATTTACCTGAGTTGGATAAGGTGCGTGGTTCACTACTAGTACGTGCTTGGGATGTAATCAACCTTATTATCCTACACATTAGTCTATCTTCATACTAGACTTGTATATCCTACCGACTTTCTCTATTTATACTATCTTTACCGGTGTTTGGAAGCCCCTTATCCAGATAGGCAGTCGTTACAAAGTAGGGAAAAAGTAGATCAACATTTACTATCACAAGTGCATTTCTCATATTCCTGGCGCAGCAGAGTATCATGGTGAATTATCATAGACAAGGGGTCCAATTCACGAAAGCGTCGGGGTTTAGGAATGACTCGGTTCCCGAGAATTGTGGGATTGTGGGATCCTCTAGACCCATCGGCGACAATGCCAGGCACGCACTTTGATGAAAGTGGAGCACCTCCATGAATCTACCAGGTTCCTCGTTAGTAGATTAGCGTTCAGGGGGGGAGGATACGATGGACATACATCATGTCTTTTAACATCTCCTTGTCGAACTCACCACCGTTGAACACCCAGTCGAACCTTTCTTCAGCAATGGGTTCATCGGTCGGGTCATGATACATTCTCACATAGGGGTGTTGTAGGGCTTCCTCGGCGGAAATCCTTTCTTGTGGGTCCAGCGTGAGCATTCGCTCCAGCATACTCCTAGCTATGTCACCCATACCAGTCAGCCACACAGTCAAACTATTGAAGAATGGAGTATTGTCGGCACTCACCGGAATCATCTAGATTCTGAATAACGCTTTGCAAGGGACGCGGTTCTCTCCGCTCCAGAGACCTGATGATCTCCACTGTCTGAACGTCCATGTCAGTACTGCAATATATAGGACACATTGCCATGAAATACCTACATTTGCGGTACATATCCGTGAGATAAACTTATCAGATGGATTTCCCAACACGTCCAGGATCAGGTAGAACTGGTTAATGGGGTCTTGTCCTGGAAATAGAGGCTTCCCATTGAACATTTCCGCAATAACACACCCTGCACTCCAGATGTCCATCTCTACACCGTACCTTTGCCATGTAAGCATGACCTCCGGTGCACGGTAGTATCGTGTGGAGACATATCCAGTCATACGATGATCCTGGGGCCTGGAGAGACCAAAATCACATATTTTCAAGTCGCAGTTCTCATCAATAACCAGATTGCTGGGTTTTATATCCCTGTGAACCACACCTGCCGAATGTATGTATTTCAACCCACGCTGATTCTCGTCAGAATTGTGAAAACTAAGGTATGGATCGCCAGCGACTCTCACCAGTATCTGATACGCGAAATACTGTACGAATTGTGGCTCAAGGGGTCCAGCCTCCAGAAGACGGCCGAGATCGGTTGACAGGAGTTCGGTTACTAGGTATCTATAAAGCAATATTAGTGTGGAGTATAGCCAAAATGATTACGACTGAGCATACACATCTGTTCGGGGAGAGATAAAAACGTCGCACAAGCCGATGAGCTTCAAGGGGTTAGCAGTCTTGAAACATAGTCCGTAGATTCAGAATCCGTACATTTTCATGTTGTAACTGCTTTAAGAGTTTAATCTCCCGGTAGGTCTGTTTAGCGTTGGCTGTCGTGGCAAAAGGATTCAATAGCTTTTTGATGGCTACCGCTTGGTCCCTCACCAAATCATACGCCGAACTAAGTTTCTCAATAAGCCTTCATCATTTTAGGGGGCCAAAGGGGAAAAAGGGGCAACGGGGGTTAATAAGGAGCACGTACCAAACAAGGCTAAACGCACCCAGGCCCACCGGTCGTACGTTAACATATCTAGACAAACGGTTAATTTCTTGAGTTAACGCCAACGTGCAATGGTGAAAATCTACCGGCTGGTAGTATCAAACATAGATCCCAGCACCTCTGATCGATTGAATTCTGCCATGTTTGATTCTTATTTGAAATACCTTCAGAGACGGTGCACCAGGTGAACAAAGCGGCACGTTGCTTTATATAGCCTGTATCCTGACAGACCGAGGGAGTTCTCCACTAGGACCCATCTGAGACGATAATGCGAGGGTGAGAAAATACCTCCGCATAGCGGATCTCATTTTCTTTCCTATCATTGAACAGAACTCCTTGTGGGATGGCATCCTGAAAAGACCCTCGGAGGATGGTTGCATGCTCATTGGCGAAGGAGACACGAGGACAGCCGAAAATGCCTACTTTTCGACAGCCATTGGCTATACAGGCCTACTCTAGATAGGAAGGTCTTGCTAGTCACTAGAGGCTAGACCCATCAGAAAAAGGATAGGCCGGGACGGGTGGCATGGCTCCGTCAAGCTTGTGCTTGAAATTCCCTCTCACGGGTACATTTTCCGGTCACCACTGCCAGCTCCTTATAGGGCAGTCGTTTAGTAACGTTACTGATAGCCTTGCAATGCATGAAGTAGATTGATGTGCAGTTCTGGGTGGCGATTTACATACACCCCACTTAGAACTTTGTTGACCTTCGCCCAATAATTCACAATCTTTTTGAGCCACTACCAACCCACTTCGGTCGGATGAGAGAGAAGCAATGGGCAGAAAGAGCTCCCTGCCTCCTGTAAGCTTCATGTTGCGAAAGAAATTCATACTAGTAAGCGTCTTAGGATAGGAGAGGGGATCTTGAGTGTGCTGAATGACATTAGCTAGAAGAAACTATCGGCTTTCTTCTCTCTACCCAGTCATGAAGTAGCCGTTAAATGTCTAGTGATGATCTTTCGCCATAGGGAAACTCCACAGGCCTTGGCGACTGGCGCATATCAGCAATTAGTGACACATGCACTTGGGCCAGGAGAGCCTGGAGAGGCTGTCTAGCCGATTCTGACTCTGGGTAGCCTGCAACGTCTGAGACTGATGTGGAACCTTGCATGTATCTCTCGTCGACGACATCTCCTAGACTATGTACAATGTGGGACGTGAAAATGGCCCCCTTGCGCTATTTTGAACACGCTGCTCCATATTGCCATTTAGAGCTCCGTGCATACTGCTTTAGCTTGTGTGATATGATATCCCCTGCCTTCCTTTCGCCACATCTTGCTAGCTGACGCTCCAAGGCAATAGAGTAATATAGTAACAGAACAGCGGCAAAGTCTGCAATGCTACAGATGCCTCTGATTAGCCCGCACCACGCCGTACCTCCCCACCTAATCCACTCAGGTGGCTGTACGAATTCCTAGGAGCAGGTAGGGTTAAGTCTGTTAAGCACCGGGCCAGACCGAGGTCAAGGCGGAGTATTCCGCGGGTCACTTGTAAATGATGGGGGTTGGAAGGTAATGCCGAGCCTATTGCGAGTCCTTGAAGCGGCTAAAGATTGGCATAGCTTTGCTACTATCATGAATAAATACGTTAGGCTAATAGGTGGCGTGTATGGCCCGCTATATTGAGGTTGCAGACCGTCGGAGTTCGAACGGGCACACAGGTGACCAAGGCGTTCTACTATCACCTTAAAGTATAGTAAGGTTAGCTGCATAACAAACTACATACGCATAAGTGACATACATTGTATCCGATTTCGACCTGGTTAAGTGCACCTAGTGCAGGGCACTAACGTTACCCTATCCCACCTGATTCAGGTCGTTAGTGAGTCACGGGGCACTTTAGGCGGAGCCCGCACTCTATCGAGAATCAATCCGGTGTACGGAGTAGAAGAAGCTCATATCCATGCAGAGCCAAGGGATTTGGGTTGGGGCATTTGTGCAATACGGAGCCGAGCCTACAGTACCTAAAAGCTGGAAGTACACTAAAACGTCAGTTTGTTGGCATTCAGGTGATTGCATCACATCAATTGATGGTCTTAAGTTTTCTAATGAACAGGGCTGCCACTAAACTGGGCCAGGTGCTTGATTAATACATCACTGTATGCGTCAGACATATGGTCATCGCTAGCCAATCGAGATTGGACTCGGCAGACTGACGTTATGTATGGATGGATTCATTAGTTATCTTCGTGACGAGTAAAATGCCTCAAGTACTGGGTAGTTTTGCCTTGTCAATTGAATTTCCTTAATTCCGTGAACTCGGCCGGTCCCACAACGGGGCACTTGAGGTTGCATCACTCACTGCATTGTCTTGCCGGAGTAACCGCCGTTCACCTTCCTGTTTCGGTTTTGATTCTGTTATCTTTGGCTGCCTAACCCTCTCTGGAAACGCAGATCGCATGCCTGGGTTACTGCCCCCCTATCCATACTTGGCAGGGTAAACTTTGCACTGTCAGTAGCATAGAAGGAACAAGATGTTAACATCCCAATGGCTGACTGAGAGACCATCCAGTTCTGTGCATGTATTGAAACTTTGGGCAATGTGTCAAGCGGAGGAGAGTAGACCACTGAAATAGAGTCAATCTCGCCCTTCGCAGATCCTTCCGTACGGGTTGAAGCAAGGGTATGTACTTGATTGGTTAGGTATCATGGTCACTCATGCCATTTCCCTGGCTCATGATAGCTCTCGGTAGCTGTGATGGGATTTCTGATACTCTCGCAATGCACCTTCTTTGGCGTGCTCTCCTTACAGGGCTGTAGTGACCATCATTAAACGGGTGCACACCCTCAGGGTGTATTGGAAAGCGACGAATGATGTCAACATCGCCTAATCCCTCATTGAGCAAAGTGTGAGCGTCATAGCCTCTGCGCTATATGAAGAGCCGGGACTTTGTCTGTTGTAATGGATTGAATCATTATGATAAATCGCCATGCACTATGAAGTAGGACGATGGAGATAGGTGGCATGATGCTCGTTCCTGCGTTTGCTGTTCGCTCGCGGCTTCTTGCAACATTTGGGCGTAGCATGCCTTGAATTAATGTTGATTATTCTCTGGCATCTGTCTCTGCAGTTGCATACCCAGTAGTTCCCCTCAACGTGAAGGCATTTTCCATGGTATGGCTCTACTCTTAAGATTTTATTAGCATTTTGGCATAATAAACCGGCCGGAGGCCATGATGGTAGTGTAGTTGGGTTGGTTGGCTGGCACAAGTGAGAGCTCTGGGATTGGTACAAGCTAGCAACAGTTGTCTAAGTCTGAACTAGTTCTAGTATATGAGCAAAATGTAATGTATTATATGGAGATACGAAGCTAGACAGTCTCTGATCTAAAGAAATCTTTTAGCAGATCCACTTGGCCTTCTTCATATCGCGATACACTGATGCTCGAGGAATAACTGAAGCTGCATTGCAACGAAGAAATGGCCTATGAAGTCGCTTCTCTAGCCCATCTCGGGTCTAATTTAGCTGCTGTCGGGGAGACATATATTCTTGCCACATTCAAGGTGAATAGAGTTAATTTGGCGGGATCTAGGGGAATCCACCCTAGCTAGTATCTGTTGCAATCGATGACTTGGCTTTGGGGGTGGGAAATAATTATGCTCACGCGAAATAAAGATTTCTCATTGAATAGACTGATACAGAGACTTAGTTCTTGATTCATGCATTGGTCCACTGACAGGGAACTAGACTCAACCCATGCATCGACCGTTGGAGGCGACTTCGAAGGAAAAAGTGTGGGATCCCAGGCCTGAATGCATAATCACCCTACAGAGCCCCCTATACGTCGCCCCCCTTAATGAATGCTCTAGGCGACAATGCCTACTCGAACTGATCACCTTCCTCGGGCTCTAAAACGCCAACCTCTTCTTCCTCGCTGTCATAGTATTCCTCCTCCTCTTTCCGCCCACCTGTGTATCCAGATGAGGGAAAAATAGGCTCGGTATTCTGTACTTGTGCCGTTACAAAGAATGGGTGATCAACAGAAAGTGCCCTATTTTGACACAAATATCCCATAGGCGTATGTGAGATATCCTGGTTCCGACGACGCAGTACTAACCATTCCTCCAAAAAGCTCATTTGGGCCGTCTGGCGTGTGGTAAGGGTCCCGTTGGAGTTCTGTTCTTCTGGCCCTGGTTGCATCTGCTGTAATAGACAAGCGTAGTCTGTGTATGCAAAATACAGCCTCCCTGCAAAGATACCGATCTCAACAGAAAGCCAGTAGGGTATAGCAAACTGTGTAGGGAAAGACGGGATAGCATAATAATCCAGGTGGCTAAAGTGGAGCATCCGCTTCGTCACTGGCGCTGCGTATGTAATGAGATGCATTGATGGGGCCGGAGTCGTGCGAAGGATAGGAATCAATTCCTCCGCCTCTTCTGGAGTGACTACAATGACAGCCTCGGTTGCAATGTTGCATAATAGCCAGGTAACAGGGCGCTATTCAAGATAATCAGTCAGCATGCACAGATCGTGGGTGAAGGCTCCTTTACCATAAACTCATCCCGCCTCGCGCCGGGTCTCAGCTTGACCGTCTTTGTGAACTCAGTAGAAACGCATAAGCGAGGAAGGAGAGCAGTCACCTCCCTGCTGTATTTCAACCCCAAGTTTGTTGTGAAGAGTACATCGGCAGCTGAAACAAAGCTAGAGCGTTCCAGAATCCCGGTTTTCGCAAAACGGGACAGAGACGGATGCAACCCGGGAAACTGGTGGGCCTCCAGCCGCCGTGGTCGTTGAATCTCTCGTTCCTCTTCGATCTCGTAGGCAACCTCCCGCTCCTGCTCGACCTCCTCTAGTGCTGAGCTAACGATTGAGTTTTGGAAAAGCTTCGATTCCTCGTGTTGTTGGCGGAGAACCTGCATAAACTCGGCAACCCTGCCACTGAACGAGAAAGAACTGGCTCCCGTCGTAGGCTCTTCGAGGTCGATGTCTGGTATTTGTGGCTTGTATAGTTGTTCCAGCGTTTGCTGTTCGGGCTGCTGTAGAACACCAACATAAGCTTCTCGATGAAGGGGATCGCTGAGAAACTTGGGGTATTTCGCTGCCGCTTGAATACGACGACAGAACTCAGCACCTTGAGCATAGAAAAGGGGTTGTAGCTCTCTGTTGTTAGCGCAGGTCTGGAAAAGAAGCCAGTAAACAACATGTGATGAGTCGATTGTCTCGTTTCTCCCATTCTTGCAGACGTCTAAAATACTTTGATGAACCTCTGGTGGCGCGATAAAGATAACGGATTGTGTTTGACCCAACTGGCGGAGTCTCATGGCCGCTAAGTAACGAATGTTAGATTGAATCCAAAGGTTAGGGTTGATGAGTAATAACCAAAGGCAAAAGAAACATGAGGGGATAAGGAGGCTCTTACCCTGTACGGTATGGTCCTTGGTCTGGTTCAGCCCTAATGTCAATGCACCCCTCGCATCGGCGGGCAATTTCAGGTCAGTGCCTCTTGTATGGGACTCGTCAAGATAGACTAGGCAGTCCTTTAAATTGTCAGCGAAAGGAGTGGCAAATAGGGGCACCGTTTTCCCTGTTCTATATTGGACCCAAGCCTGATTGTCGCGCCCAAAATAGACCGCTGCCTGGGCCTCGGTATCCTGATCTAGCCAGGTTCTGACGAGGGTCCGGTTGTCCATCTCCAGGATATAAGCACCTGCATCGATAAGTATTCGGATCCCGCTCCTCATCAGATTCATCAGAAGTTCAGCCTCAGTAAAGCGTCTCCCATCGACTGCTGCATATCTATATCCCCGATTTCTTTTATGTAGTAGATACGTGAGTACCTCAGCATTGGTGTGTAACAGCTCTGGTAAATCACGCTGCTGAATAGTCAATGGGAGAAGTCTGCGGTTATCGTTTGTCCCGCTGAATCCAGTTGTTAATCCAGAACGTTTCGTTTGCCGTTCCTGACACAACGAGGATGAATTGCTGAAAAAGGGCACGTCCCATCCAGAACTTTGTAGCTTAATAGAGAACTGTTTGGCATGAATGGGAAAAACCAATGTTTTCAGGAAATAGTTAATAGCTGTTATCGAGAAGCGTAGATGATACCAAATCTCCGCAATCTGGCCGTGATCATCAATATTGATTAAATTCCAGTGTCGTAAGGTTTCCGGAAGGGTTGCC